CCTTAACAGCAACCCAGAGGACTATGGCATATTGCGGTTTAGATTGAAAGCCCGGTTCCATGCGGGCATCCAACTTTCAAAAAACCGCACAGTATGTCAATTAGCTTGGCAACCCTGAGCCTAAATCCTAACCCAGTCCCTATATAACCCTTATATGATCCCTATGTAACGTGTCCTTGTCAGCCAGCTGAGCCAAGGAGTCGATCACAGTTTTGGCACCATGCTTGTTGCAAGCAAGCTGAACTTGATTGTCCCTGGCCGCCGCAGGGAAACAATGCTGCAGGATATGGAGATGGAAGCCACTATAGTATTTTGGGGCTATTTAAGGATAATGGAAAACAACAGGGAAGATACTAATTATAGTATATTGGCTATATTGGGGTTATATAGGTTTTTTTATAGTAGAGCTTAAGCTCAGAAACTGGAGCATTCATACCTCCACGCAAAAAAAAAATGTACACCCCCTGCCAACCTCCTAAAGAAGGAATATTCGCTGAATAAGGAAAAGAAAAGTCTTGTGTTTTTTGTTGTCTGTTATTCAAAAGGTTGGGCTTGTTGATCATGATAGATTGGGTACTGCCCCACTCAGCAACAATTGCGTAATGGTAATGATATAATTGTATACACTACTATTAGTATAGCCCTGACTATAGCCTCTGTTATAGTCTGTTACTGGGCGGGGGCAGTACCCAAAGCATGGACTTCACAAAAGAGAAGCACTTTGTTCGACCCTCAACCCTACACCCTAAGACCTTTAACCCTAAATCCTTTTTTTGAACCCAAGAGCTCGTGATGTTAGCCCCTAAATCCTAAATCCTGACCCCTAAACAAAGAGAAGCATGAGACAGCCCAGCTACACGTTCTCATCGTCGCGACTGCGGCTAAGAGCCTGGTCAATTGGATGGCCCCCCTTACCAGAATGGGGGCTATGTAGGGGTATAAGGGGTTATATAGGGGCTTATGGAATTATGTAGGGGCTCTGTAGGGTTATATAAGGGCTATGTACGGGTTCTATAAAGGGTTATATGGGGGCTATGTAGGGTCCATAAAAGAGGATACATAGGGGCTATGTAGGGGTATACGGGGTTATATAGGGGCTTATGGAATTATGTAGGGGCTCTGTAGGGTTATATAAGGGCTATTTACGGGCTCTATAAGGGGTTATATGGGGGCTATGT